GCAGGGTCTGTACCTGAGCAGCTAGGTAAGGACTAAAGTGAGCTCAAATGCAGACTCCCTCCCTCAGGTCCCGCCTGTCCCTGGTCAGCCTCCAGCTCTTCAGTCCAGCACTCCTTCCCAACTGGGAGGGAGACGGCTACAGCCCACCAGCCTCCCTCACCTAAGAAAAGGGCCACGTATGGGTTCAATGGAGGCTGGGGTGCATGCTGGGCCCTCAACAGTCTCAGCTGAAGCAAACCCAGACCACATTTTCTTGTGGACAAAGTCCTAATCCTGCCAGCTCAATGCAAGGGAAGGAGACTGTCAAGAAAACACCATGGCTGAGCTTCGTGGATTCTCAGGAGAGACCAGGGAGGGGAAGTGGAGGCAATGAGGCCTTAGCACAACCCAAACGCCTGCGGGGCCTCCTTCCCTCGGAGTCACCGGGAAGAGCCACACGCCGGGCTGTTGGAGACCCTCACTCCTTAACGCCCCAAACGCACTGGTTCGAACCGGCCCAGATACCCAGCGGAGCACCACCTTGGGAGGGCCGTGGCTGTGTGTGGAAGGACATGTGGGGCCCCATGCAGCCATCACAGGGTCAGGGATTTGCCACCAGTTCGGGCTCACACACCCATTGGTGTTGCGGTCTGGGCTTCTCCAGTCTCAGCACATCCAGGATAAACATGGAGGCCTGCGTGGATCCTACAGCCCCTTCTCCATCCTGCCTCCAAGACTCCCTTTGCTCCCAAAGATGCAGCAGGATCTGGGCCTACTCCCCTGCCGCAGCTCAGTTCCTTCCTTCAGCATTAAAACTGCCAGGGGTGGGTGGGGTGGTGCCACATGTCACACCAACCTTGTCCCACCATTCCATGTCCCCTGGGCTGTGTGACCATCACGTTATGTCCACTTGAACCTAAGTCCTTCTGAGGGTCCGAGCGTTCCCAACAGTCCACCCCACACCTGGGCACGGGTGCTTCTTACCCCTTTCTTCCCTGGAATGGCACACTCCCAGTTCATGAGGTTCATCGTGCCGTCGGGGTTTTTTGTGGGGACAGCTACAAAACCCTGCGAGAAAACCACACACGAGCGCATCAGTTCTGTGGCAGTTCATCTTCGCTGCCCACAGGAACCCTGTGCTTCTCACCCCGTCAGGAAGAGGACCCACTGAGCTACATGAAGAAATCAAGCTTTCCTTACAAATGGGTGGTCTTTTCTCCAAGCTTTCCTCTCCTGGGCGAGTCTGCTGAGGGCGATCCCCGACATATTCAAAGTCCTGAAAGAGACGGCAGAAACGCGATCAGGAGGAAAACCTGGTTCCTTCGGCCCCTTCCCTCACCGGCCCAGCGAGCAGACTTGTTTCCAAGAAAAGCGGATAACTGAAGGCTCTCACATGGCTCATAGAGATCATGCATGCTCTCAGCAAGCGGCCCCACCCAGCGTTTGGACAGGCCCCAGGCCCCGACTCCAGCCTTCTCCTACAGGCAGATCACAAGAGAAGAGGCCTGGGCCTCCTGGACACCTCCACGTGGGTGCCCTGCCAACTGCCTGCCCCAGGGCTCCACGGCAACCCCTCACGCTCCATTACTTGGTGACACAGAGGTTCGGAGAGGCGAAGCCACAGGCTTGGGCCTCAGAGCTGCTGGGTGCTGTGCAGGAAGGGATGCCGAGTACTCCCAGCAGACATCTGGCACCCCTCATCCCCCACTTTAGTCACACCCAGCAGTGGGGTCCAGTCCTACCATCATATACACAGGAAAGGCAGGACCAGGTGGGGACACCCAGAATGCTGGCTGAGACCTGGGAAGGGCAGGGATGAATCGCTTCCCTCTGCTGATGCAGGGACGTGGGGGCACCGTCAGGCCCCCAACTTAGAATCAGGGCTCAGAATTCAGATTCAGGCCTAGCCAGGATGACCTTATTCTAGAAGGCAACCAAGTGGCAAAGTGCACCAGGGCAGAGGGCAGCTCAACTGCATTGTGGACACGTCCAGGCAGCTCACCGGGCCCAGCAGCCAACAGACCCACGTGTCCCCAGGTCCCTGGCTCTTTCCTCTGCCCCCTCCGCTTTCTCACCCTATAGCCCCACCCTGGCACTCCCCAAACAAGTATTGGATCAAGGCCCGTCTCCATGTACTTTGGGAAAGTCAACAAAAGTGAAGCAGCTAACAGAGCCCAGGAACTCCTCAGGAGCACCAGTGAGCAGTGAGACCTCAGCAGGCCAGGACCACAGGCTCTCAAGGCTCTGTGCCTCTAGCTGTTCAAATGAACAGGCTGGAGCCCTCAGGTAAAGCAGCATCCCCAGGTGCCTGGCACACCAGACCAGACTGCAGGGCACTGAATCGTAACATCGCCTCCAGCCGCCCATGAGAAAGCAGATGCAGAGGTGACATGGTCACAAAACCTGCTGGAGAATTTGACCCTAAGTGTGCTGGTTGGTCCTCAAAGTCCATGGAAACACTGAAAATACCTTAGATGAAGCACATGCATTTACCATAAGCAAGGCTTCCCCAAGCCTTCAGATTGATACTGAGGCTAGGGGAGAGGTCTCCTCTCTGCCTCTGCAGGGAAAAGGTCCAGCACAAGGGCCTGAGTACAATGTGGGGTGCCCTCCACAACCACAACGGGGTGCTCAACCCTGTACGGAAAAAAACCATCTCCCGCAGGGCATCACGCGACAGCAGCCTGCCCAGCCGGCCCACTGCCCCAGCCTCCACACAGGCCTGTTCTGGAGATAGGAACGGAGGTCCAGAAGGACCTGCCCCGAAGCCGGAGCCTCAACGCAAACCCAGGTGGTCTTCTGACGAGGGGGTGAGTGGCAGGGCTACTCTCTCTCCTGCTGCAGTGCCCCTTGCTTAGTAATTTAGTAACTACTATTTCAACCTCCCCACCCCATCCCATGCCATGCCACCCCACCCCACCCAGGCTGATCTACAACTCCCTCAGCAACCCAGATGGCGCCCTTCACCCCAGTAGCCACACCACCTGGCTGTCCTGCCCAGTCCCCCAAGGCTCACACTATTTGTGGAGGAGGTGTTAGGTCAGGCCAACAGTTCAACAGCAGGCATCAAATGCACATTCCCAGGGCTCAGAGGCCACCGTGGAGTCAGGAACTCTGGGAGGCCCCAGTGCTCTGGGCAGCTCTTGAACGACTATTTTCCCAAGAAGGAGGCACAGAAGGAGGGTTTGGGGTTGCCTTTGCAGAAAAGCACTATCGCCTCCAATCCCACCTAGGAACCCAGGTCTCAGCAGCCAGTTACTATATAACCCGCCAGACCAACTGGATGTAGTACATTTTCAAGAAACAGGTATGCTCGTTATCACAAGGAAAGTGGAGGAAAAATCAGAGCCCTCAGTCAAGGGTGACAGGTGCACCAACTTGGACTGTGGTCCCCAGCTCCAGCACTGTGACTCCAGAACACACCTTATCCAAGATTAAGGCCAAAGTAGGTTAACACCAGGCTTGCACCCAGTGGAACTGCTCACTGCACCACACAACCCCGAGCTCTGGTCTGCCCATTTCTTCCCCAGGGGATGTCTGACCAAACCACTGAGGTGCTCATGAAGAGCCTGACAGGGGGATGCTGCCCTGGGGGCTCACAGGGGAGGAAGTTTCGTGCTGGAAGCACAAGGTGCTGGAGATGCAAAGCAGCACCATGGGGGCCAGAGGCACCTGCTCTGAAACAGTGGCCGCCTGGCAGGAGACTGTGCCGGGCAACATGGTTCAGGAACAGTGGGGCTGGTGGGCCAGAGGAGAGTGGGAAGGGTAGGCCTGCATGAGGGACGTGAGGGCCTCCAGGGGGACGGGGGGTATACAGAGGAGCAAACCAGCAGCTTCTGTCAGAAGTGGGCAGTGACAGTGGTGACTGACTGGGAGGCTTGATTGTAGCCCTGATGTCGGAAAAGTCTTCATTTCTAAGTTTCGCTAAGTCTTCACTTCAACTGGTTCTAAATGGCATGACCCATGTTATCCACATCCCCATCTCCAGGTTGGAGGGCACAGCACATGCTAGCCTCCAAAATACTGCCCCTGCCCCCAGAGGGCAGGCCCCTCATCGCTGGCCATGGCAAAGCATACAGCACAGGTTGGCAGGGTGCTTCTGCTGGATGAACACAGAAGTTCAGTGACCAAAGACAAGCAACCTGGTAAGCATTGTTTAAGTGAGGCACTAGGCCCTTAGCCAGGCATCGAAGCTGGTTTCTGAAGCTCAGGCCAGCTCTGGAACACTGAGCAGCCATGGATACCGTGCAGGGCCACACACTGCTCAGGGGGGCTGAGGCCGCAGGGCGATCCCCAGCGCGGCCTGCCTCCTGCGGACCGTGCCAGGACCCGCCTCTTCTGCTCTGAGGACGGAACAAAGTGCACACGAAGACCCTGTGCCTCGCTGTGGTTGTCCCAGGTACGAAAGGTTAATAGTGAGCGGCAGTTCCGCAGGAGTGCCAATGGACCAGATCGGGCCCTAATAAGATGCTTTCCGCCATCAGGGCAGAGAGCCACAGGTGTTTACCTGCAGTGTCCCAGGCAGATACCTGTCTTCAAGATGGTGCTTCCACTCCTGGCAGCCTCTCCAGTCCAGGAGAAAGCAGCCAGTTTGTTACATTTTACAAAGCAGAAGCCTCATTCAGAATCCCACTTAGAACTGACTCCGCCTTCCCCAACAGAGAGAAACATGAGGAGCAGCTAAGTTACCAGATGCTTCAGAGCAGCAAAGTTGCAGATGCAAAGATAAAACATCCATGAACTACTAGAGACAGCAGCCTGCGGGACAAAGGCTGGGTTCCCCAGGCTCAGGGGGGAGGTCTGCCCATGAACCCAGGCTTCTCAGATCAGCTCTGCTGGTTGACAGCAGAGACTTCAGACCCACTTACTGGCTTTGTGAGTGTGGCAAGTTGTTCATCTCCCCCCAACCTCAACTTCCTCATCAGTAAAATGGGCATAGGTGGCCCAGGTTGAAACAAACAAACTCCCTCAGGGGAAGGTATGCACTTTGCCTGATCTCTGCCCAGGCTGCACTTCCGGTTCTTTCTCGACAAATCTCCCAGGATCCCAGGCTGTTTCAGAAGCAAGGTTCCAACCCCGAGACTTCGCCAAAGACACAACAGCACGCACAACCCACCCCCGAACCACCCAAAAGGTCACAAGCAAATCAGGACAAACTTGTGTCCACCTCCTCTGCCTGTTGGACATGTTCTCTGCCTAAAGGTGGCGAGTCCTTAACAGCCAGCTGCATTCAGAGCTGTATTCTTGGAAAAAGAAATAAAAAAGCCAACTTAGCCAACACAGTAACTTTGCAAACCGAGGAGCTAAGCATGCTTTCAAAATATACCAACCAAACCACTTAAAAAAAACGGTGATTTAGGGACGACTGCAGGCCGTGATCCGCCTTCCCGTCCTTTCCCTCCTACTCACGAAAACATCAGTTCCAAGCTCCCTTCAACGGGTACAAAGCCATCTTAAACACAAAAGGACTCTCCCTCTAGCCGAGTGCTGATGTTCAGGGTCCCACCAACGGCCAGTGGAGCTCCTTCGAGGCGCAGGAAAACTCAAGACTTGTTTTGCATTTCAGGCATCATCTCCCCCCACCCCCAATCCAACCAGCAATTTTGCAATCCAAGACTTTTAACTCTCTCCGCTGGGCCTCTCTGAGCGCCACAGGTTTGTGTGCGGACCCGTGACCCAGGAAACGCACGTCCCTCCGCGGAGGGGAAGCTGCTGTCAACCCCGCGTGGTTCCCCGGCCGCACCGCGAGCCCACGCCGGAGGGAACGCCGACACTTTCACAAGGGAAAGCGACGGAGCCCCAAGGCCGGGACGCCGCCGAGGCCGGCCCAGCTGGGTCG